CTACTTCTACTAGTACTGCTACTGCTACTACTACTGCTACTACTACTGCTACTGCTACTGCTACTGCCGATCACTGGCTGCTACTAGCAACTAGTAATTCCTCACAGACACTTCTGTTTCTACTGCACGGGATACTACGACTCCCACCTAGTACTGCTGCTGCTGCTGCTGCTAAATCTTATTGCAAGCCGTGGTGAGTAAGTTTCGCTGAGTCGTCACGAGGTTTGGTTGTTTCTTCTATGGTTCCAACCCGACGGCCGGGAGCTCCAGTACACTGTGCACAAGATCCTTCTTGAACTTGCCGATGTTACTCACAGCCTTTAGACTCGCTGCTTTCGTTGCAAGACAAGGCACACATCTCCAACGCAGTCTTCCCGAAGATGTGTTCGGCGATCTCCACGGACCTCAGCTTCGAGCGATTGCCCTAAGGATTTCAGAACGAGCGAGCAATGAAAGCCCATGCTATGAACCTATTTTCGGTCCACTAGGCAGTGCCACTGGAGATGCACACGCTCCCACCGGAAGACCGCACGCGAGGACCTCGAGTTTCCCTTTCTGCCGGGAGAGCCGTGTGTGATATCTCCACGGTGTAGGCAACAAAAAGGCCAAACATTATGAATCTTTACAAAGGCTAAAGTCTGAAGATCCACCAATTTTTGAAGCCTTGGGCAGGACTGTTGCACAGTGAAGTTTTGCGAGTGAAATGAAGGCCCTGCAGACAGAGGCATGACGAAAAGGCGGTTTGTGATCCCGCCATTACCACCGCTCTCATTGTTGTCCACACCCTGGGGTCTCGAACTGCTCCTGAGGCTATGTTGTCTATAAGCAGTTCGGCGTCAAGTACACCTACACAATCGAGGTCACTCCAGTTTTTGCACAGCTGTGACACCATATGCACAGCCATGTTGACCTGACGCAGTGCTCGCTATTTGCTCCGGTGGACACAGGCCCAGAGCTCAGGGCACTGGCATATAACGCTTGCAGTCAAAGCGGCATGAAAGAACTTCACGTCAAATTCACCACATCTTACCACAGCGGCCGTCTCGTCAGGTGCTGAGGGCTCAGAGGGCCACTTCACGCCTTCACGCGTGGAATTTGCTGCAGCCTCGGGACGGGCTCTGGCTGCACCTGTCGATCTGACCAGCATGGCGCAGTGCCAATTGCGACCTTTCCCGGAACTCGTGGCAGAGCTGAAACCGTCAATTGCCGTAGCTGTCATGTGACTTCCTCATGCATTCGAGACCGGGTGCAGTTTCTCCACTCTTTTCGTTGAAGAGCCAGTAGCGTACACCTGTTCCTGGCCGTCGCGCTGCACGTGCTCGTGCCTTGCCAGTCAGAAGTAGCTCAGTGAAGCAATCCATTGCGTCTTTTATGTGTAGCTGGCAGGCTTGCGAATCCAAACCATTTGGACGACACAACACAACACTACACAACCACCATGCCAAAAGTGCCGTTCGATGCCACTTGGGCACCATCAGCCATCGAACACATTCACCCAAATGTTTCCGAGGCATGAGAAGATGTTGCATTGTGAGGTGAGGCGGGGCAGGCAAGTGTCACAGCAAAAGAAGGGGGGGACCGAGCAGGCTCGGTAGGTGCAGCCCGTACCGCACCTCGATACAGGTATCTCAGCTTACCATTTCTTCAGTGCTGCCTCACATCATTCAGAGACTAGCTTGACCTGCTTCAACACCGTCTCGTCAGCAACTTCGCCATTTGATAGCTTCGCTCGCTTCGTCTCACCGTCGTGAGGCCTGCTTTCTGAGCAGTTATATTCGGGTGTTGTTGCGTGAGGTCGGTTGTGCGGTGGGCTGTGGCCTGGCGCTTTTCTTCAACGTGGACCTCTGCTCCGTGGCCCAAGCCTGTCCGGGCCCGAAGCAGCCAGGAGATGCCAGGAGGCCAATACGGAAACAGACAGGAGGCCAATACTTACAGTCTGGCAAGAAGCGGGAGAGAAGACGGGAAGGCATGAGGGTGCAAGGTCAGGCTTCTTTTTTTTTTCGTCAGAAGACGATGCAAACAAACTAAGTTATGGAAGCCCATGCAGCGCAGGACATGATGCCCAATGTAAAAACGATCTGGCCCCCAGCTGCATTCGCCTGACAGTGCCGGCCAGGGACGTAGCAGGGCCCAGGGCGTGCTATATGCAATAGTCAAGTCAACAGAGATCCCATTAAGCATAACAGCGCCAAAGCCCAAGGCTCATGCCGGTTTGCATGAGTTGAAGTAGACAAGCTACGCAGCACAACGGCTGCCACTCAGGCCCGAGAAGTTTACGGCCCGACACTCCAAGTCCAAGCCTTCCAGAAGCCCTTGAGCAGGGAGGCTCCCTGTTGCGATTGGCCGGAGAAAGACGCAAAGTAAGAGGCCGGTCCAAATGGATGCGCTGCAAACCGAGCAGGCCTGCCGGGTTCACGGCCTGTGCCTCCTGGCAGTGCGGAAGCAGAAGCACAAGAGGAGGCTGTCTGTGTTTCTCTTGTGGATACTGTCCTGTCCTCCATACCACAGCCAACGTGGGTGACGGTTCTGAGGATGGAAGGTTCTTGAAGCTTGAGGTAGGCTCGAATCACGAGATGTCACCAGTCTGCAGAAGCTTCAGAACGTCGGTTGATTTTCGAACCAAATGGGGTGTGCCCGGTGTGCCCGAATATCGCGGCTCAAGGGAGAAGAAACCAGCACTGTAGCTTTAAGGCCACAGGATGAGACCACCGAGTCCACTCAGTGACTCAGGAAAAACATCCTTGTTCGTGTCTTTCTCGTCTCATCAGCCCACGTGTTTCTGGGCAGGCCTGCATTTGCGAGGGCCTGTTGCTGGACCTTTCCTGTCCGCGTGTTGGGGCCCCAAGAGTGAATCGGTTGGCTGAGCACTGATTGAAGTTTGAGGTGCTGCACGCCAGGCCGTGGTTCCAGACAGAGGCCAACAGGAAATGTTTTCATGCTTCTGCCTCAGCGGCTGACCGGGACAGTAAAGGTCCTGGACACAATCACTGCGGCAGAGGTGCTGGAAGGCACACGAATATGGGGGGCTGGCGTTGAAAGGGTTCGGCGATCTGCATACGCTCTCTTTTGAACAGGCTTGATAGCAAGCTATGGCGAAGTGGTGCCTGACCTGGCGCGGCTGACTCGGGACGGCAGTGATGATGGAGGAACGTATCTCTTGAAGTTCCCTTTGCCTGATTCTCGGTTGCCTCCACATGGTGCAGGGGACAGTGACGGGGACGATGCTGATGAGGAGGAGCGTGTGCGCACCAAGGCCTGGCAGGATACACTGTGCTGATATGTTTTGATCTGTTTTGAATGTTGTTGCCGACATTTGCCTGGCTGATGGATTACAGGATGCCACCGTCTCTGCTGCAGTAGCTTCCCCGACGTCTGGAGCTGGAGGCCAAGAGGACTCCCTGCAACAGGCCCTAGTTGAAATTACAAGATTCCAGGCTATCCGGTATTTGAGGCACGGCGCAAGGTGCCCTGCAAGGACTCGCCACAGGCCGCATCTGACTTTCAAGCTGTGCGAGCACGTTTAAGCAGTCAGGCAGTGGCTCCAAAGCGAGCCAACGGAAAGCCTGTGCATGCAGGCCGGGCGGCGTGGTCGCATATGGGTTTTGGAGCTTTCAGTGGATGCCGCTGGATGCCCCATCACGCAGGCAAAGAGGAAGACCGCGAAGCAGAGAAACCGCCGGAGTCAGGCAGCAGGGTTGCAGCGACATTCAGAAGCATTGTGGAGATGCAGAACCGGGTGCAATTGCATGCATTTACGTATCCGGTGTAGGATGTAGGATCTGCGCAGGTGAGGAGCTCGCAGCTCCTGCGGGTCTCGCAGGACGGGGCGTCTCCAGCAGCCCAACGCCACAGAGCCCATCTGCTTGGTCCCCGGTCCACTCAGTATTGCTTTTTGTGGATGGAGTTGATGCAAGTAAACTAAGTAACCCCGGACTTGTGACTAGCTCCCAGCCGATGCACATATGGTTACCGAATGTTCTCGAGGTCAGTTATCGAGATTGCCACATTTTGTCGCGCAGTGAATCTTGATTGTGTCTTGACATGTGCTGTGGGAAATCGGGACTCTGATGACATGATGCAAGGATGTATCCAAGACCGTGATTCAAGCAAAGCCGCAAGATGGATAGTGAGCCGGGAATCTAGAACAATGATTTCTGAAAGATTGCAAACAATCTTGCAATCTTGTCCCACTTCGCGGGGTGGGCCGGTAGGACAAGTGGGGCAAGATTGCTGTCAAAATCTTGGTTTCCCCGCCAAGATTGGCCAAGATTGCCAACTCACCAAGATCTCCTCTCCAACTAATTGTTCTAGATTCCCGGCACAATGTACGAGAACTAGTACTGGTAGTAGTAGTAGTAGTAGTACTAGTACTAGTAGTAGTAGTAGCAGCAGCAGCAGCAGCAGTAGTAGTAGTAGTAGTAGTAAAAGTAGCAGTAAGTAGTGGTAACTGGTAGTAACTAGTAAGAAGAAGAAGTAGTAGTAGTAGTAGTAGTACTACTACTACTACTACTACTACTCCCACTACTGCTGCTACTACTACTACTACTACTACTACTACTGCGACTACTACTGCTATTACTACCACTACCTACTACTACTAC